CCCCGTCCAATGAATACAAAGGGGCAGTCCAGGGTAATGTGTATTTATTTCTTTTTCCAAGAACTCAAGGCACATTTTCTGCCCTCAGCTCAGTTTAGTTTTCCCAGTCTGGTCAGTAACATGATATCAAGGGGGGTGTGTGTGTGTGTGTGTCTGTGTGTGTGTGTGTGTGTGAGACAGAGAGAGAGAGAGAGAGAGATTGGGAAAGGGGCAGGGTGAGAAGAAAGTGCAGTCCAGTGGTTACTAATGGATCACTACATTTTTCCCCCATGTAAAGAATTTTTAGGCCCCTCTTTCTTGCATCTTATGTCATGTCTTGGCATGCAGTCAGCCCTCCCAGAGGCAGGCCCATTAACTCTTTCAAGCCCAGTACTATTCATACCATTCAGTGCATTCTGGTACTGCACTAAGCGTACCATGCAAGAATGCTATTTAGTTCAATGCACTCGTGATACATAAAGCAATTCCCTGAAGGCCTGAAAGAGTTAACCTACATCCCTCTCTGAATATTTGGCTTAGTGCGAGGGACTGACTGAGAAACTGGGGACAACAGAGGCCAATGTCTCATTAACTGGCATAGAATTCTATTGACATAAGAAGAAACAGACAATATCATCTTTAATATGCAACTGGAAAAACTGAGAACCCCAAGAAGTTTTTGCCTACAGTCACCCAATAAGCTGGTCTCGCATCCAAGACCATTTCCAGGTCTCCAAATGTTCTGCCTGGAGCTCTGCCTATGGTTTCCTTTAAACCCAAACTCATGCAGGGAAGAAGCAGATGAAAGTGTGTGAGAGGGCAGAGGTTAACACAAGAGTCCTGTGGGCTCATGTCTTATAAATGCAAAGGCTGGATTATTCTGTTATAAATCCTTCTTGGGAGGAAATTTATAATTATTATTATTACTGAAACAGGGTCTCACCCTGTTGCCCAGGCTGGAGTGTAGTAGCACAATCTCAGCTCACTACAACCTCTGCCTCCCAGGTTCAAGTGATTCTCCTGCCTCAGCCTCCCGAGTAGCTAGGACCACAGGCGCGCACCGCCAGTCCTGGTTAATGTTTGTATTTTTAGTAGAGACGGGTTTTCACCATGTTGGCCAGTCTGGTCTTGAACTCCTGACCTCAAGTGATCTTCCTGCCTTGGTCTCCCAAAATGCTAAGATTACAGGCGTGAGCCACCACGCCCAGCCAGAAATGAAATTTTAAATAAAACCTGTAAAATCATCCCTTCCAGATTTCCTTCCTGGACAGTGGTATAGTCACCTCCAACCACACTAAACCCAGCAACCTTTCCGCATTTTACCTCAATTCCCATCAACATGTTTGCAATTTCCCATAGTTTGTTTTCATCTCTTTCTAGTGGGGGTGGAGGGTGGGGTGGGGGGAAGGTATCTTGAGAAAGGAGAGAAGATGGGGCCAGAGCACACACTCTCCTGCTAGCTCGACAGAAAGTACTGCATGAGGCTGGGCAAGATTGCTTGGGGTGCCCCTGGGATGCTGCACAGCTAATTTGCACACTGGCACTGCATTTGGGCTTCTTATGAGATGAGTCTCAAGTTTAAAGCACTCTGTGGCTGGAAATAAAGAAGGTGGTGAAATTTCCAGGATTTTGCAATAGAACTGTGACTAAACCCCTTCATGCTAAAGTTCAAAATGATATGCACTGGAGCTGGAAGTGAACTTAGGTATCATCTGGTCAAACCCTCATCTTGTCACCAAGAAAACCGAGGTAGACAAGGGAAGTGACCTATCCCAGGCCACACAACTCATTAATAGCACAGTTGGTGAGTGAGAGTATTTTAAGTCATAAAGAATGAAAGAGAAGCTCATGATTACGTCAGATAATAAGGATTGATTTTAAAGATACACAGGGGTTAGCAGATGTCCGCAGTAACATGACCAAACCTCACCAAGCACTAAACACTGCAGGCACATAAGGTGGATTTATACCCAATCTACTTCTTTTGCTCTGGCAGATACTCCTTAAATGTAGGTATCTGTCTGCCTGCTTCAGTCCCCTGCTGTCATGAGCACTAACTACTCTTTGCCTTGCTTTTACTGCTATTGTTCACATGCATTCATATTTCTCTACTTTCCTTTTCTCTGTTTCTTAATTCCTGCTTGCCAGAGCTTCTGCTTCCTGGCTTATTTTCTGTGTGTCTTTTCCCTTCTGTCCATCTTCAAGGGTTGACTTCCCTTTGATAGATTTACATTCAAGTTCCTGGAGGGAGGATCTGATGGGTTCTTGTAGCAACTCTGCAGTAGTGCTACAGAGCCCTTCCTCCAGATCTCAGGGTTATTAAAGATGATGGCTTTATTCAGGGAGGCTTCTACACTGCAGTTTCTTAACTAGTGTGTTAGGCTGTTCTTGCATTGCTGTAGAGAAATACCTAAGACTGGGCAATTTATAAGAAAAGAGGTTTAATTGGCTCATGGTTTAGTGGGCTGTACAGGAAGCATGGTGACATCTGCTTCTGGGGAGGCCTCAGGAAGCTTCCAATCATGGCGGAAGTCAAAGGGGGTGCAGACACATCACATGGCAAAAGCAGGAGCAAGACAGGGAGACAGCAAGGTGCCACACACTTTTAAACAACCAGATCTTGGGAGAATTCACTCACTATCATGAGGGCAATATCAAGAGAACGTTACTAAACTGTTCATGAAAATCTGCCCTTATGATCCAATCACCTCCCACCAGGCCCCACCTCCAACGCTGGCGATTACTTTTCGATTTGAGATTCAGATAGGGACAGATATACAAACTATATCAACTAGGGAGTGGATTATAATGCCCAGGACTTTAAAAAATGCATAGCCCCCAGACATGCTGGCTCAGCACCTGTTCTATGGGACTTAGACATGTGTAATTTGAAAATGTTGATTATTTAACTTCAACAAATCTCCACTGGGAGAGATCACTTACATAGCTAGTCCTTACACTGAGTTTGGAGGGCAAGAGCTGATGACTTTCATTCATATTCATTAGTGGTCTATAAGAATCTATGTATGCCTGGCTTTCCTGCCCAGTGTCCTTATGGGAAGACCACACTTCCAGTCTGTGAATGAATTAGAAGGATATTTGGTATTTCTGGTGTGTGCATCTTCCGATAGAATACAGGTTAGGAATGGCAGACACCAAACTATGATCTTCAATAGTGAATTCTCAATATATTAAGAAAAACTCCATTTAATTTTTCCCTTCAAAATCTGGAGAGCCGGGAACAAGACAAGGATGTTCACTCTCATCATTTCTACAGTGTACTGGATAGTCTAGTCAGGGCAGTTAGGCAAGAAAAAGAAATAAAAACCATTCAGATTGGAAAGAAAGTAAAACGATCTCCATTTGCAGATGACATAAACTTACATATAAAATTCAGAGAGTTTTGCAAGGCATCCTTTTGGGCCCTGAAAACCAAAAGGAATTTCCATCTCCCTCCCACACACCCTAGAACAGTGATTCTCAAATGTTTAGTGTACAAAAGACAGTTGTTAATCTTCCAGCTATGTCCAGCTTCCAGAGATTGTATCTGATGTACTGGGCTAGGAAATTTCATTTTAAGAAGCATCCCCGAGAAATTCAATGCAGGTGAATTTTAGACAACTTTGTAAAATGCAAAACAAAATCTTTCAAAATTGTTTAGCATAATGATTTAGAGTATAATGCCTAGAACTTTATTGCCTGGGTTTGATTCTTGACTTGTCTACTTGCTAGCTGCGTGACCTTGAGGGTAGCACTTACCTTTACCGTGCCTCAGTTTCTGCAAATGTAGAATGGGGTTAATGATGGTGCACCTGCTTCACAGGTTTACTGCAAGCATTAAATATAGTAATGTCTGTGAAGCAGTTAGACTAAAAATTGTTCTTACTGTCACTTATTTGCTATAGGAGAACTGCCTGGTTATCCCTGGAAGCTACACCTTGCCTGTAGACATTATAGCAAAATGCAATGACTCTAATAAGTGTAGGAAAACCACACGAACTCTGTTCATGCTCTTCTCTACTGATGCTCACATGTCCCCTCTGAAAGGCTATGGCAGCCAGGCACGGTGGCTCAAGCCTGTAATCCCAGCACTTTGGGAGGCCGAGATGGGCGGATCACGAGGTCAGGAGATCGAGACCATCCTGGCTAACACGGTGAAACCCCGTCTCTACTAAAAAATACAAAAAACTAGCCAGGCAAGATGGCAGGCACCTGTAGTCCCAGCTACTCAGGAAGCTGAGGCAGGAGAATGGTGTGAACCCAGGAGGCGGAGCTTGCAGTGAACTGAGATCCGGCCACTGCACTCCAGCCTGGGCGACAGAGCAAGACTCCGTCTCAAAAAAAAAAAAAAAAAGAAAAGCTATGGCAAAGAGACACATTCTGTTAGAAATCAAATGAAAACATGGGTCAGCCGATCCTTCCACAGTTCAAAGCCCTCTCTGCCTTAACGGATCGTGGCTAATCTGCAGTGTGATGATCATATTTGGCATATTACCAGAGGTTTCTTGTTTCCATTATTTTGATTTATACCATTAGCGAACCTGGTTTTCCATGTTCTGTTTTGTTTTTGTCTTACAGCACATTTCACCAAGAGTTCATTTCCAAATGCAAACATGAGGACTAATGCTCCATTTATGACTCATAAAATGTACTACTCCATTCCCCCCATTCACTAGCATGATAGCAAATCTTTAACAGATTGCCTTGCACGTAGGGAGGCAGCTCCCAGTGCTCACATAAATAATTTATTCTGATCAACACTTGCTCAAATTAATGGAAATGATAATGTACAGAAAGTGTTTTCCTGTGTTTCCAAGTCTATTCCCCAAGGCAACATTATTTGTATTCCTAGATATGCAGGAAACTGACCTGATGGCTCCCAGTTCAAAAATCACAGGTAGAGGCCTTATTTTCGGAATTTCCTTAGTCAGCTAAGAACAGAGTTTCCTTACAGTGCATGGTCTGTTACATACTAGACATTGTTCATACTTTAGTGACAAGAGGGCAGAAATAGCTCTTACTGTATAATGCTGCTGTAATTTTTCTATCAGCCAACAACTACGGTTTCCTGAAGTAGCAAAAACCTGAAAAAAAAAAAAGATGAAGCAGTTCAGAGAGAATGAATCAGAGTGGGCTGGTGATTCATGCATCCTCAGGAAGAGAGTTGGACAGGACCTCTTAAACATCTTTCAACCCTGTTTTTGTTTTTCTACAATTCTACTCAAACACCAATTTATACTCAAATATTAGTTGCACCTCAGAAAAAAACAAGTTGTTTTACCCTCGCCTGCCCCCGCAATTCCCCAGTGTTTTGGCTTTAAACTTTCCTCTAGAAAACTGATCAAACATGAACACAAGTTAAATTGAAGCCACTTTATTCATGTCATTCTTTGAAGCCCATAACAATTACAGAGTGCCTTTGGGTAGCATTAAAAGAAAAACTCCAAAGCAAATGTATCTCTGGAGTTCAAGTCAGCATTTCGCCTAGAGTGTAAGACAACACTATTTATTCCTTGGAGAGACAAGAAAGGATATATCTTTGACCTTAAATGACCTATTCTTGATCCCTGGTAAACATGAAAGGCTGGCAGCTAGGTATTTGTGTGCTAGACTCCACCCCCTCATCCACATACCTTGTTTGGAGGAACTCAGAAGCACTTCCTGTTTGGGATCATAACTCAAGGCCAGAAATTGCTCCTCAGGCAGAGTTAGAGCAACAATATCTGCTAGTGGGATTGGCTCCTCCTAAACATCTTCTTTGAATCCCTCCACCCCCATCCTTCAAAGCCCAGATACTTAGAAACAAAACCTAGGCAGAAAGCAGCAGGAAAGCTGAAGGTCATCATTAGACGCAAAGCTCTTCCGTGTACCATTTATTGCCATTCCAGCTCACCTCCCTGCAGACCGTTTCTGGGTCCCCGGCTTCCCTTCTCTCACACAGATACTGTCCTGGGGGCAGGAGGAGTGTATCAAACACAGGATTACAGTTCTTTGAAGTGGTGACATCCGTTACAGATCTAAAGTCAAGTTTACAGGACTGTCAGTAAGGGAAAAGGAACTTTGTGAGCTGAACTTTCTAAAATTAATCCACTTACAAGCTACACAGCAACAGAGGTATAAGCAGGAGATACCCACTACATCTTGAAGAAGACTTTTCCCAGTTTGCAAAATTACCTGGTTAATTAATTCAGGCATCATAATAATTGAACTAATTTAAAGCCAGAATATCCATCATGGAACAGAAATAGATCTGCTGTTTTTATCAAGGTAATTACCAGGACAATTGCCAGACCTCCTCTGAGTTTTGCTCCATGAAAGCCAAGCCAAGCCTGCTGGTTTATGTACACTTTTACGTATACACATGCCCTTGTATTAATAAATGAGAGTCTTCTGAGGACAACATTCACAGTCAGAAACTTCCCTCCCAGAAGTAAGAATAGGAAAGAAAGCAAAGGCTGTGTTCTCAATCCAGGCCATGGATTTTGTATAAATGAATGGAAACCTAATTTAAAAATCTATGTCCTTTTTGTGCCCTCATTCAGTGAGTTTCTAGAAATTATAATAAAACCCCTTTATTGTCAAATAACAAAACAGTACATCGATGAGTGAAAGGTAGAACAGTTGTACAATTTCAAGCTACTGCCAAGGAGGACAGAAGTTTGGGTTTGGCACATTCTCTCAGGATTTGTGAAGCTGTTCTTGCCTCTTCCAGTATGACTCTTCATCCACATGAGCCTGAAGGAGTGGGGCTATTAGAGCTCCTTAACCAGCAGCCTTCTTTTACACCTAGCTGGTAAGCTGGCCTGAGACGCCTCCAATATGGCTCTACTGTGAGTCACTATCCACAAAATCAGTGAGTCATTGACCACTTTAGAGAGAAATCCCACAGAGTTTTCTTCAAAGCAAGGGCCTCAAACTCAAATATCTACAGGGGCCAGGTAGGTAATGCATAGCAATGAGGATGAATGAGATAATTGGAAATTATGAGCACTAGTTACTTCTGCAGTCTCTCCGTAACTCCAGCCAATCTTTGCATTGAGAGTTTATGCTTCCCATTTTGCCACATCTGTCAGTTCTGATTACAGAATTCTGCTTTCTTGTCGTTTGCTGATTTGTAAATGTTTGCAAAAAATTTGATTTTGAAAAACGCTATGCTAGGAGGTCAAAACACATCTGTGAGAATAATCACCAATTTGTCATGGTTTTTAGTATCAGCTCTGCACACATAGACACACATGAGCACACACATGTGTACGTACCCGCCCCCACACAAACAACCGTCAGCCTCAAACATGATGGATTCTGGGAGTTGAATTTGTCAAACTTCAATCATCCTTGGAAGTAGCTTGAAATATTCCTCTCATTCCTTTATCGATTTGCTATTTTGTAGATATTTTCCAGTAAAAAGATTTTATTATAATTTATAGAAACTCATGGTAATAAGAATATAGGACGCACATTTTTAAATGAGACTTTTCTTTCATTTACTAAAATATAAAATCCAATAGAGAAAATTCAATGTAAAGACTAAAAATCATACATATGCCAAAAAATCTACATATTTCACCAAAAAGTGAATAATTAATGTTTTCTCATCCAAAATGTTGTTTATTCTTCATAATTGCTAGAGTCAGAGAGTTTGAGTAATAGAGCCAGAAATGACACTCAGAGAGGTCATTTTCCTCACCTGTGTAAGGTAAGCAGTTACTCAGCAGCAAACAGTTGCCAGGGTGTGTCATCATAGCTCACTGCAGCCACAATCTCCTGGGCTCAAGTGATCCTCCCGCCTCAGCCTCATAAGTATCTGGAACTACCGGCATGTGTCATCAAACCCAGCTAATATGTTTTTGATTTTAGTAGAGACAGGGTCTTGCTATATTGCCCAGGCTGGTCTCAAACTGCTGAGCTCAAGCAATCCACCTGCCTTGGCCTCCGGAAGTGCTGGGATTACAGGTGTAAGCCACCACACCCAGCCCACTTAAAGCCACCACACCCAGTCCAGTTTGTTTTTTTTGTTTTTGGTTTTGGTTTTGGTTTTTTTTGAGACAGAGTCTCGCTCTTTTCGCCCAGGCTGGAGTGCAGTGGTGCAATCCTGGCTCACTGCAACTTCTGCCTCCCGGGTTCAAGCGATTCTCCTGCCTCAGCCTCCCCAGTAGCTGGGATTACAGGTGCCCACCACCATGCCTGGCTAATTTTTGTGTTATTAGTAGAGATGGGATTTCACCATGTTGGTCAGGCTGGTCTCAAACTCCTGACCTTTTGATCCACCTGCCTTGGCCTCCAAAGTGCTGGGATTACAGACGTGAGCCACCGCACCTGGCCGGCCTAGTTATTTATTTATTTATTCAAAGGTATAGGCCAGGCGTGGTAGTTTATGCCTGTAATCCCAGCATTTTGGGAGGCCGAGGCAGGTGGATCACCTGAGGTCAGGAGTTCGAGACCAGCCTGGTCAACATGGTAAAACCCCGTCTCTACTAATAATACAAACATTAGCCAAGCATGATGACGGGCGCCTGTCATCCCAGCTACTCTGGAGGCTGAAGCAGGAGAATCTCTTGCACCCAGGAGGCGGAGGTTGCAGTGAACTGAGATCGTGCCACTGAAAAAAAAAAAAAGGTATAAATGAGAAAAGAGTAGGTGAGTTGGCATCCATATTATACATTACATTAAAACTTTTGTGTCGTACATTAAAAAAAAACTGTCAAACCAAAAGAAGTTTTCAATCAAAAAAGCCATTACTGAATCAGGTTACGAAAAAGGAATGTTTAGGGTAAAACAGGGACTTCTGAGAACAGGCAAGTAGATTCTGTTCTGATGTTTAATTAGACATAAATCTCTACAGAAAATTGTTCTTTAGAAAGAAAAATACATCTACTGTTCAAATACATATTTATTGTGGATTAAGAATGTGTCATACACATACAAGAGATATTTCCTGACATGTTTACTATAGAGTTGGGCAATCACTGTGCGATGATGGTATCTTGTTCCCTGTCTCACAAACAGCAGACTTTATTTTCCTCTGGAGTTTGTTGAAAGGTTTTTCAGTGTTCTGAGAATTGGGAGTCATTATGGAATGCACACTGAAAATACTTGCTTATTCAGAATAAGCTGAAAGTAAAGGGCTATTATTTCCCGTCTGAATCGTTTTAATGGGATGGGTTATCAGTTTCTTCCCTAAATGTTTATATTTAAAATGTTTTCCTTTTTCTCTCACTGAAAACTTATGTCGCTTAAGAGCAGAGTAATTGTGTTTACAAACTCCTGATAGCCCTGTATAAGCACCATGATTACAAACTCAAGGCTAGACTTCAATGCTATATGTTATATCACAAAATAGCTGCTAAAAATCAGAGACTGTTCAGAGTGATTTGGGGAGAGGTCGTTTTGTTTCCAAATTTACCATTGTTATTATTCTATGCATATCCACAAATCAGTTGGCCTTTCCAATTGTGAGGTAGTTACTACTAAATGTATTTATGTATTTAGAGAATTGAGAACGCACCTCTGCTATATGGAGGTGGGCTTTGGAATCTGAAAGACTTGGAATCATGTCCTGCTTCTGCTCCTTAGTAGCTGAATGATCTTTAGCAAATCCTATAACCTCTCTGGGCCTTTGTTTTCCTATCTTGAAAATGGCATTCAGATCTGCTCTTCAGGGTTGTTGTGAGATTAAAAGAGAAAATTACTGTAAAGCATTAAGCACAGTGGTGAAAATTTAAGAATAAACATGTTAGGACAAAAGCAGTTTCAGTTTGTCAGGATGTAAACCACAGAAACACCTTTCCAAGAGAAGTCAATAAATAACCTTCAGAGGAAATTATTGAGTTCTTAAAGTTGGTCATTTCCATTTGCTTATAAAATAATTGTTTGTGCTTACTAGGTTCACAGAGAATATACATGAGCAGGGAGGGAAAAGAGAAGGAAGATAGGTCTGGGTAGCTGAATTAGTTCCTTAAAGAATTTAAACTCTGGTAGTAAACAAGAAGATTAGACTTGCCAGTGAAAGGCCATAAATCAGAACTGCAAGTTATACCTGCTGTAACAGAGATACAGTCAAAGAGGAATGACACCTGGGAGGAAGAAGAGATTATTTTGCCTCTGACTTCATTTTTCTTTCACAGTCATGACTCTGAAAACCGTAGCAAAGTCCATCCTATAAAATTATATTTCTCAATTCACACGATTTAGAGAATTTTAGAATTCAAATATATTTTTAAGAGTTTGTGTTTAGAACTTTTACATTTTACAGATGAAGAAACCTGCGCCCACAAAGATGAAATCAAGTTAGAGTAAGACCAAACCATGAAGTCATTTATTATGTTCTTCCTGCTTCACATGACCCATGAATTCTCTTTCTCTGAGTCAACTGGAAATACCCTTTACACATTGCATGTCTCTTCTACCAGAAGAAAACTTGCAAATTGCAAATGACAAATCTCTACAATAGTTTGGGCTTTAGGCTTTTCCATGGCCTTTTTCCTTTTGTTCTTTTCCACTCTATTTTTTCCTCCAGAGATTTTCATTTCTACCTAGACTACATGGCTTTTTTCACCTGTTAATCTGTTGCCTAATAAACAAACCCAGTTGACCCTGAGCCAATGGCTTCTTTCTTTCCTTCCTTTCTTCCTCCCTTTCTTCCTTCTGTCCTTCTTCCTTCCTTATTTCAATGTGGTTTCCTAAGACACTAGACTTAGACCTAGTATTCCTAGATTGACCAAAGGTCCCTGGTGTCCAATTGTGGAAAATGTCAGAAGGAGTTCTAAGCATAGTGGGCATCTCAGCAGGACTTGATGTAGACAGAGACCAATGAGTAGCAGGACTTGCCTAGTGCCTCAGTTAAAGATTCTTCACCCTTGGCCTAAAACTGAAGAAGGTGGGGAATCCCAAGAATCATTGAGATTGAAACTCCCAACAGTCTATATCAGCATCAAAATTAAATAGAAAGAAAAAATAGAGGGGAAGGTAGGAAGGAAAAAAGGAAGAAAGGAAGAAAGGAAGGCAATATTTCTTACACACTTAAGCTGTGGGCTGACATTCATGAACACTAAGCTTTATTTACACAGTGATGTAGTAATGATATTTTCTTTATACGTCATAAGAAAGATAGTTTTCATTCATAGCTACAGAGTAATTATTCTCAGCCCAAGTAAAAGTTTGATAGCTACCATTACCGAGCATCTGCTAGGAACTTTATCTACATTATTTTATTTTATCTCATCATCACGATGACTTTATAATCTTGGTTTTGTTATCCTTATTTTAGAGATGAAAACAGCGGGCTCAGAAAGTTCAAGTAATTTGCCCAAGATCACACAGATAGTAAGTGGCAGAACCGGAATTAGGAACCATGTGTCAAACGCCACATCTATGCTCTGTCTCCTAATCTGCCCTGTGGCCTGAGACTGTGCACTGAGTCAAGGCACGGTGACTAAAAATCTTATCGGAAGTTGGGATATTTCAGTTTAACTCAATATTTGTTCCCATTGTTCTTCCTGCTTTCCCAAAGACTGACTTTCATGCACCTTTTATTCACATTTGTGTCTTCTATTTAGCAAATTCACTATCTAACCTTGGCCACAATCCCCTTTCAGATCTTGGCCTCCTGTCAACACTCTGCTATCATCTGACACCCGCATCTTGACACCCCTCATCCTCATCCATCCCCATCTCCTACCCTGACCATCCTGGGTCTGCTTTTGTTATGCCTGTCTGACACTGAGTTGATAGGGCCACTGTGTGACTCAAAGGAGATAGTAAGTGTCAAGGCAGGCATTCAGAGAAGATTAAGATGGCTACAGGCTGCAGAAACCAGGGAAGGTTTCTGGAGAAGGAAGCTTGATGGGAAGAGATCGTTGGATTAAGTGGAAACGCGGAAGAAGACCATTATTTTTGGAAAGAAGAGGGTAAAAAAAACTGGAAAATGAAAATGCAGACATTAAGTAGTCCACACTGGGAGAAGAAGAGAATTGATCTTGATTATAGCAGGAGATTACTTTGGAAAAGTTAGGGGTTAACTGAATGGCTTGAATTTTTTTTTTTTTTTTTTGAGAAGGAGTCTCCAACTGCCACCCAGGCTGGAGTGCAATGGTGTGATCTTGGCTCAGGGCAACATCCGCCTCCCGGGGGCTTGAATGTTTTAAAGTTAAATTTGTCTCAAATGTTGTATAGTATGTTTAGGAATAGAAAAGAATGAAGGCAAAAAACAAACAAACAAACAAAACAATAATTGTCACTACCAAATAGACAGGATCCAAAATGACCCCATGGATCTAAGCTACAATAACTAAGAGAATGACAATGACCACTAAAAGACACAGGAAATTCAAGAGGCAGACACTGGTTACAGACAAAGAACATGAGTTTTCATTTAGCCATGATGAGCCTGGGGTAATTTGGTAATGTTCCAGTGGAACCACCACGCAAGAAGTTAGAACTGATGATCAGAATTGGTAAAATTGGTCTAGTGAGATTATCCACACAAAGGCAAGCTTTAATTCCATAAAAACAGTTGAACTACCCAAAGGAATAACAAAGACAAGATTAGAATTTATCAACACAACTCTGGCTGCTTTTATAGCCACGACAATTTGTGTGTGTGTATGTGTGAGAGCCAAAGTTTTATGTGTTCATTTCTTGCATTTTAAGGACTCTTCAATGGCATCCTTGGCCTGAGACTCCTTGCCATACTCCTTAACTACTACACAACTGCAACCAACCACTTTACGGGGCTTCCTCTCTCTGTCAGTTTTACAGAGGACTACCCATTCTCCTAGTTTCTTTTTTTTTTCTTTCTTTCTTTTCTTTTTTTTTTTTTTGAGACGGAGTCTTGCTCCGTTGCCAGGCCAGAGCACAGTGGCA